AAAAAAAAAAAAAAAAAAAGGGAGAGAGAGAGGTCCCAATCCAAAACACAACAGATGGGCGGATGCTTTTAACATGCAAGTCATATGCAAAGTCCAGTGGGAAGAGTTCATAAGAAGCAAAATCAGAAATAGAGGATGAACAGCATGGCCCCATAACCTCTCATTCGTCGGACGGTAGCTTTTGACATTACAACCTTGTCTGGTCCTTTCCCGCTGCTCTGCATTATTAGTATACCCTTTCTGGTTCAGACATATGTCGCAAGCTTAAAGCTTAGCCGAACCTCGAGTTCTAAATTCAAGGCAACACCATATCCTCACCACAATTTTTACAATTGCCTAATTTCCAAAAGGAAAAGGTTTAAACAGTACATTGATAATAACATCATTGTTTTTACATTTGAAAATGAAAGGCTTGATGATTGGAGTTTCACGGGGGGATGACGAGAAAACCATAAATTGTGTGGAGAAAGTCTCTTAAGTTTTAAATTCACAGAACGGGCTACTATTATGTCATATACTCAACACACAGCACTGTCAACATGGCTAAAAGGGAAAATGTATGCATTTTATCATCTATGAATGTATTTAGAATCAGAGAACTCCAAAGAAGGGATTATTTATGGCGGAGTTTAGCTCAGATCCAGCTGAATTCAGCACCGCCATGTCAACCTTGTTTCTAGGCAAAAACAAAAACTCATCTCCTTCAATTTTCTCAAACCCACACAGCTCAAAAAACTCGATGCCTCCGTTCAACGAACCAACCCTATCCTGTTGGACATGAAAAAGTTTTGAAAATGCACAAAAAAGAGTTGGTAAACAAACCAAAAAGGTGCGACTTATACAATTTAAAACTGACATGCTCTAGCTGCAGCAAGGGAAAAATAATAATAATAAAAAACCTGACAAGATCTAAAGAAGTTAATAGTGGATCTCAGAGATAAACCTTTAAGTATACCACTTTCTTTGACCAAGATAACAACAGAAATAAACAACTACATGCTAAAAATTTTTAAGAGAAAACCAAAGCAACTTATTTTAAGCAATAAATTCCCCAGTCATGATGTACTCAAGTTGATTGTTTATGATTGAGGCTAAAGTTATTGTTAACAGGAAAACTTAGAAAAGGTTGTCAATTGGTGTTTGGTGCAGTTTCAAGACCATTCCGGGAAGTGTTTTTGTTGGAGGTTGCCATATAATTGGCAGTTTAAATGGGAGGAGATTGGTGAAGATGTGACCTAGTCACTTGCTGGGATAAATGACAAGGAGGCTGGTAAAGATTTGCACCAGGGAGACAAATGAGCTTCTTGCACCAGCGGCTAAAGTAGAGAGTAGAAGGTGATACAGGCAGGCAACAGCAGCACAGAAGCTTAAATGCCACAGAATGCATGAAACTGCTCTTATCTTAAGTACTTATGATTACACATTTTAATTATCAAAGAAAAGAGGAGTCTGCTTGTTTATCTTTTTCCCAAGTTCTTATCTTGATGTAAATAAAGTATCTTTTTTTGGTAATGAAATAAAGACAATATTTGAATGCAAATACGGCAGAATATACGCAATATGTCCCTATATGTACACACTTTTCCATTGAATAATTTGACTGAAACATTAAAACCTATGCCTTGCATGATATAGGCTTGTTTGATCCATTTCATTACCTGGAAGGTTTGATTAGTCAGTCTAATTTTTCTGAATTTCTCCTCATCAGGATTCTTGGCAACATTCCCTATGTATGTTAAAAGAGTCTGGAAAGCTCTCTTTACTTTGGCATCTTCATCCTAATATAACAGGAGAAAAGTAGAAAGTAAAAGGTTAGCTCTCCAAAGTGCTACAAAACTGCTCATAGATGACACTTAGACACTTCTTTCTCTTTTGAAACTACTAATCCAAATAGGAATAATCATGATTGAAAAAATGATTTCAATTACCTTATGACTTTGCTTGAGAGATCGTAGACATTCCCGCATTTGCTCTGCCTTTGTGGCTGGCCTAACCGGCAATGAACTCTGAAATTCAGATTCAAGCAGGTATATTGTATTTTCAGCACACTTCCAACAAATTTAGATTCACGCATATCAGGTCCATAATTATTTAGAGAATCAATAACCTTTTTCTCCTCCACAACCGGTGACGAAGGTTTGACAACTGCAGGATCTTCTGGTGGCAATCCAAGCCTCCGCCTTCTTTCAGCCTGTGAGATATAACTAAATTTATGAGAAAGAATGATATGGACACAATCAAGTAACAATGATGGACCACTTCAAAATAAATAGAACAATAGCTGGATAAGAATCACACAGAACACCACTGCAAAATAAACAGAACAATAGCTGGATAAGAATCACACAGAACACCACTGCAAAATAAACAGAACACCACTGCAAAATAAACAGAACAATAGCTGGATAAGAATCACACAGAACACCACTGCAAAATAAACAGAACAATAGCTGGATAAGAATCACACAGAACACCACTGCAGGGCCCTTTTGTCTATTTGTCTTTTTGTAACCAAGAGACATATTGTTAACCTCCTTTGACCACAAGAAAGCAATTGCTATTTCACCCCATAATATTCAACCAGCTATATTGCCTTTTTACACAAAAAATGTTATTCAAAAAGAAGAATCTTTAACAGAAAAATACTTTGCTAAAACATAAGTTTACTAAAACAACATCTACTGAGTGATACTAATAATGCTAAGCAAAATTGAAAATTAGCAAGAACATTAAATGAACCTTGTCTTCTTCCAATTTCTGACGAATTTTTTCCCTAGCTCTTTTCTCCTCCTCTTTCTCTGCTTTCCGCAGGGCCAATAAACTGATAATGCAAAAAGAAATGAAATTTTTATCCAACAAATGATGAATTAAAGCACTGCAAAGAGGGTGAAAAGATGTGGGTAGGAATATCAAAATTCAAAAAAATATAGAATACAAACCGCTTTCTTTCATTTTCTTCCTCAATTCGCTTTGCTTCCAGGAGTTCCCTGCCCACACGAATCCTCTCCTAAAACATAAGTAAAATCACATAACCATAATAAGGAAAATGACTTATTGGGCTATGATCACGAAACAGAGAGTTTAATAAAACAAGTGAACCTAGCAAGTAAAAACCAAGAAAAGTTCACAGTTAAACAGTTCACGTTCATCTAGTCAGTAAACCTTGCAAATAGCATGATTTAGAGCAGGTTGGCAAAAGATGAGATTAAATAAAAATTATGAAGCACCTTTTCCCTTTCTCTTTCCATTCTCTTTTCTTCCTCTTCCTTCTTTTTGTGAGCCCGCTCCCTGATATCAAATTGAAAAGTTAGTTATCCAAAATCTGCTCTATTCTAGGATGGCTACGCCCCTTAATCATGGAAATGAATTGGGAGGAAGTGTTTACAAGAGATTTGCTCAGAAGTAAACATTGGATGACCCAAACCAGTTATATCAAAATAAAACATACCTTAGTTCTTGTGCTTTAAGCTTCACTTCTTCAGGAGTAAGAGAAGGTTTTGGTTCTTCAACTTTGGAGTTGACTGGGACCTAAACAAACATAACCACATGAGAAAACTAAATCAGAATAAGAATAGTTCAGCATGTTGAAGAAAAAGAAAAATACCATGGGCATCTGATCTACGTCTGGATCATTCTCATGTTCAACAACCCAGTTCACAGCAGCCTCAAGGCTGGCATTACCTGAAGAAGAGAAAACCAACTTTTACCAAGTGTAAATGCTAGATATCTAGCTAATAATCAACAGGAAGAGAAACATTATGCAAATAAAATATTCTCAGACAATATTCAGAATCCAAAGTTCAAATTCTGATACTAAAATATACGAGACACTAGACTAGACATAGCCTACCAGAAAAGTGTGTGTGTCATCAAAATCATTTTAACATCAAATTAGCTGCTTATCTGAAGAACAGAAACTCAACATCCTTTTGTCCACTCCTTAACACAAAAAATGAGCATTCCATCCATAGTTTTCTGTTCTCTAAACATAAGCTGGTAATTAATTTGATATGTGACCTCTCAAAGCAAAGCAGTATCCAGGGTCCTTAACCTCTTCTATTTCTAATAGATGCATGTGATACACTTGTTCATTTATTAAACATATATTCTCAAAAGGTTTCCTTAAAACCCAACCAAAGCAACACCCCAGAGAGTTGGCAGAGTACTGTTATATAAGAGACAAAAAATACTTCTTAAGTAGCCTCACCTGAATAATGCAGTGCACGAGTTGCACGAGCTGTTGGGAAACCCATTAATTCAAGTTCCTCTAGCAGCTTTTTATCAACCTCTGGCACAACCATCTCTATTCAAAGAAGTGAAACGAAGATGTAATCATTAAATAATAAAAATAATAATAATTACAGAAATCAAAGACTAGCTAATTTCAACAAAGACACTTCTCGAGATCAAACATGTAATAAATAGAAAAGTGATAAATTGCATGAAAAAGAAAAACATTTAGTAATACTAAAATATTAAAATGAAATGAAACAGTCTCAATTGCAACACTACCTTCGGATTGGTGACTGCTGCTCGCATCAACAGCCTCTTCAGACTCAGTAACTTTCTTTGGAGCCTCCAAATTGATCGGCTTTACTGCCTCCAACGTTTTGTCGACAAACTCAGTATGTCCAGTTCTCTTTGTATGCAAATCGGTTTCCTGCATCATCAGAAGCAAAACACAGGATTCACAAATTCAAACTTCTTTGTTGTCATCTTCACCGATAAATAAATAGCAATATACACTACACACCATAAATCTAAACATAATTGAGAGTGTAGATTTGATTCATACTGTTTTTGATCGGCATGGCTTTCCACAAGCAGTACAGACGAGGTTGAGAACAGCTTCGGTGGACTCAGAGAAGTTGGAATGGGAGGTGAGGTCCGCGTGCTCCTGCGCTTCCTCTACGGACTTCAAAAGGGCGCCACAGTCCCCACACTTCAAGGATACTCCGGCCATTGATGAACGATCGCCGTTCCGCAGGTCGACAAACTAGATCGGAGGAGAAAAAACAAAATCAAAAGGTAAAGAAAGAAGATTGAAGAAGGAAAAGTGAGCTGTATTATCGTCTTCGGTATGGTTCTGCCTGATTGCTGATTCTTTAATGGGAGTCCAAGTCCAAGAATAATTTTTTATTATCTTTTGGGCTTTCTATGGGCTTAGATGAGGCCCATTTTTAGATTGCCCTGCTCGGGGTAAAGTAGTAATTCGAACAAGCTTAGCTGGGTTGAATTTTCACACATTCACT